GTCTCTGTCTCTGTCTCTCTCTCTCTCTCTCTCTCTCTCTCTCACACACACACACACACACACACACACACACAATGTTGGAAAGCAAGATTTTGATAGGGATGTTTTTATCCAGAGACCATTCAGTCTGCTTTGCTTTTCGTTTAAGCACTTCATCCTCCCACGGAAAACCTTTATTAGTAACAAACTCTAGACCAAGGTGACCCAGTGTATCAGATATTGATGCTGAGAGCTGGCGTGAGCATCTTCATTCCAAACCTCCATCCCAGATCTTTCTATTAGCTTTTTTTGCTTTCTTTCAATTTGTGGTATGTTAATTTTTCTATTTGATAGAGTCCTAACTGTAGAAACATGGAAATCTTTTCTCTATTAAGCAGCACCAGTTTGTGTGCATGATGTCTGTGTGTGTGGTGCATGTGCCCCATGTGCCTGTGTGCGATAGTTTCTCTATCATTCTCTTTTGTTACCTTGAGGCAGGGTATCTCACAGAACCAGAGGCTCTCAGAATCTGTCTCTACTCCTCAGTGCCGTGGTAACAGTTATGAATAGACATACCTGTCATTTTACGTGGGTGCTGGGGATTCAAACTCAGGCCCTTATAACAGCAGAGGAAAATCTCTTAATGGAGCTGTCTCCCCAGCATCAGCAGCACCAGCTTTAAACACAAGCATTTTACTGGAGCACAGTGCCTTTCTGACCACAGAGACCTGTGTGCGCTCACATCCACACCAGAGAAGCTGCTCCTACCATAGTTTCCATCCTGCCACACTGGACCCCACAGTGTTGAATTCACCCTGTCCCTTCCTACTGAAGGTCCCCAAGGCGTATTGTTCCTTCTGCCTGAAACAAGATGTCCAGCAGCCTTGTATCTACTCTGTCTCCTCCTGCAGTCTCTGCACAGCTTTCACATGCTTAGGCAAGCATGCCCTGCATGTCCCGCTGCATCTGAGCCCTGCATCTCTTCTTCAGTGCACACGTGATGCTCCCAGATCTGAGCCTACATCTCTCCTTCAGTGCACATGTGATGCTCCCAGATCTGAACTTTACATCTCTTCTTCAGTGCACATGTGATGCTCCCAGATCTGAACTTTA